CAACTTTTATTTTTGGGGACAAAAATGACCTTACTGCTATTTTATGTAACAGAATTAATAAACATATATTAAATCTTCAATCCCAATTTTTAAGGCTTAGGGCTCTTTCTACTAGTCTGAAACTACTTTTGGTTCATTGCTAACTTTTATAATCTCTTAAGACAGTCAATGTGATTTTAGGTCATTTTTGTCTGCAGAGTGCTCATGTTTTTTGTCTTTATACCAAAGCAGCAAGGCAAGAAAGTGGTTGCCTTTCCAAATATAAAAGAGAGTGCCCACCCATTTTAAAATTCAGGAATTAGAACCACTGTAAATAATACTAGCAATAGGAAATTAAGGCTGCTGTAATTTCCCTTTATATTTAAATCATAACATTAGATTAACAGTGTTATTGCCTACAGAATTTACAGATTTAAGCATTTGGACTTAAATCATGGGGCATAAATATTGCCATTTCTGTCTATTCTTCTAAGGCATTGTTTTTATAATTGCCTTTGATCAATTTTAAAATGAAATCAGAAAACACTACACAAAACTGAAACTACATGACTCTGCTACAAGATACATTCGAGATACATTCTTGAGGTGTCAAGAATAGATTTCAGATGTCTCATTAGTGCTGGCACACTCTGTTCCCAGCCCAGCACAGAGATAGATGTGCAGGACACACACTAACCAGTATGGCTCTTTTATTATTTTTAAATGTTTGTTGTGTCTTAGTAGGAGGTAGGTGGTATCCACTTGTATAGCCCTGTATTCCTGTGTAAGTGTGTAGGTGTGTATATGTATACGTGTGTGTGTGTTTGGTGCTGGGTATATATAGGGATGTGAGTGCACGTGCAAGTGTGCATTTATGTGAATCAACCAAGGAGTGTGAGATGAAGTCAAGAATTTATATTGATTTCACTTATCTTCCTCCCATCCTCCCTTCTACTTTAGGTTCCTATGCCGGAGCTGTGATTGCAATGCCTTTAGCTGGCATTCTTGTACAGTACACTGGCTGGTCTTCAGTATTTTATGTCTATGGTATGTTACATTCTACACTATAGAGTTAAATAAAATGCACGTAGACAAAAAGAAAAGTGATTACAGACAATAAGAAAGGTCACTGAATACATTTCTGTGTTTATACACTTATTTTCTCCCCTCAAGAATCATTTCTTCATATTCTAAGAAGATCAAGGAAACTATTTTATCTCTGTTATTTTCGCTACATTGCTATTTCTTGTTTTTAAAAGCAACCACTTTGCCAATGGAAACTTTGTAATGTATAAAATATATGTCCTTGATTATGAAGAAAAAAATATTAAATTAGCTATAGATTAAAATCCGATGAGGAATATTCCATTGTGTATACCACATTTTCTTTATACAATCACCTATTGATGGACACTTAGGTTAATTCCATATCTTTGCTGTTATGAATAGTGCCGCAATAAACATATGAGTGCAGTTATCTTTTTGATATAATCATTTATTTTCCTTGCTGGATCCAATGGTACTTCCATTTTTAGTTGTTTGAGAAATCTCCATACTGTTTTCCATAGAGGTTGTAATATTAATAATTTTCATTTACACCCAATACCCCCAAAACCCTGACTTCACCATTACACAATCTATGCATGTAACAAAATTATACTTGTACCCCATGAATTTATACAGATAAATGCTGATGAGGAGGAAAGAGCTAGATATCACCCACCTCTCTGCTATTGCTTTCTCGATTATTTCCTTGATTCTGCTTCCCACAACTGAATAGGGGTGGAAAGCTGGAAGGCATTGTTAGTGCTAAAGCAACAATTCAATTTTGTGATGAAATATCAGTAGTTAC